TGGTGGGTACGCGTTGGCCTTTCTTGTACGTTTGTTCGTTACCACCGCTCTCGGTCCTTCCAGACTGGCGCTCCCGCTGCGGCGTTGGCCTCATTCTTGGATCGGCGCTCTGCTCCCGTCGTCCAGCACGGCGATCTCGCCTCGGCGAGGGCCACATTTCTGGATCCGAGCGCCTGATCGTTGTGTCGCTCCTCCTGGGAAGGGACGGAAGGATGGGGCAGGATGTCGGACAAGGCGCGGGCGCACTTGGCACGTTTCTCCTCTTCTCTCCTCCCGCCCGAGCTCGCGCAGTGCCCGCAGTCGAGACTCCCCCGGCAGAAATCCCTCCCCATTCCCTTCCTCCCTCCTCCTCCCTGCTCTCAGCTCGTCCCCCTCCTCCCTCGTCCCTCCTCCCCAGCCTCCCCCCCCCCTCCCCCTCCACGGCTCCTCCCTCCCCCCCCCAACAAAAACGCATCGGGGGAGCTCTTTGGCGGCGGCGGGGGCCTTGGCGGGCGGGGGAGGCGGGGCGCAGCGGACCGCGGCGGGACCACGGGCGGGCCGGCCCGGGCGGCCGGCCCGCCCTGGCGCTGGCCGGCCCGCACGCTGCCGATCGGTGGACTCCTCCGGGGCCGCTTCTGCTGGGCCCGCTTTCCACCACCGCCACCATGAGTTGAGATGGGGGGGGAGCAGGTGGTGGAGGACGAGGAGGAAGAAGGGGAGGGGGAGGATGAGGAGCAGCGGGGGTGGGGAGTAGGAGGAGGAGGGGGAGGAGCCGGAGGAGGAGGAGGGGGAGGAGGAGGAGGAGGAGGAGGAGGACGGGGAGGAGGAGGACAGGGCCTGTTCTTCACCACCACCATAAGCTAGAGGGGGAAGCAGGTGGAGGAGGAGGAGGAAGGAGAAGAAGTGGAGGAGGAAGAGGACCCCCTCCCCCTCCGACTCCATGGTGGTGTCTGTGGAAAACAAGCCCACCAGCAGTTCCCCGGATTTTGACGATCCCGGGGCCCCGGAAGGGCCCCGGAAAAAGCGGAAAGCGCGGAGATTTTTCCGTCTCGATGTTTTTCGAGATTTCGGATGTTTGGGTCCAGACAGGAGCGGCGCGAGGGCGGGAAGGGCTCGTCGCGGGACGCGATGCGCCAAGTAAATTAGGTTTCTTAGCCCAATCTTCCTTCTCCTCCCTGTCCTCCTTCTCCCCGTCCTCCTCCTCCTCCTCGTCCTCCTCTTCTTTCTCCTCCTCCTCCTCCTCCAACTCCCCCCCTGCTGCTACTCCTACTCTTCTTCAGCCTCCTCCTTCTCCTACTCCCTTTATCAAGCATCGTGCGCAAGCTGAGCGGCGCTCGTGGCGACAGAGGAGTAGTGTTTCTCTAGTAGATGGCGGGCTCGGTACTGTTACTAGGCTACTTCCCTGGGGACTGAAGCTACATGGGCTACCTTGTGCGCGGGGGAATTGTTGAGAGCACAGTCGCAAGCCGAATTTATCACGCATGTCTTTGTTTTTCTCACAGCATTGCAACATGTGTTATGCGTCCACATCGAACATTGTGCGCAAGCTTGAGCGGCGCTCGCGGCGACAGAGAACTCGTTTCCCTAAAATGTCCCGTGGGCGCGAAATGGCTGGTAGTCTATTTCTCATGGGGGCAAGTGTCACATGGGCGACCCTGCGCGCGGGAAAATGTTTGAGCATAGCCGTGAAATATTTGGAATGCAGATCTCCATCGTGTTTCTTCCAGTGCCCGTTGTTTGGTTGCAGGTCGACATGTTTTTTGTGCTTCCATTACTTGTATGTAAAGGAATTCACAAATCATTGTGCTCAAGCTTTAGCGGCGCTCGCGGCGCCAGAGGAACCGCTTCACTCGACCATTCGTCGGCAGCGATATTGTTTGTACGTTATGCCTCCAGGGGAATAATTCCACATGGGGTACCCTGCGCGCGGGAGAGTGTTTGTGCATTGCCCATGGCGTTCTTGAAGCATTGGTAGTTGTAGTCGTAGTCTCATTCGCTCTCGCAGTCGTCGTCGCGTCGTCGTCGTTGCCGCGGATGATGATCTATTTTCCGCTGTTGGTGGAGCCCCAGTCTTCCAATTCGCCGGCCCAACGGGCCAGAGGCGTGCTAAGATCTCCGGTAACTGGTTAACAATAACTCTATACTTCGCGCGCGCGGAGCGGCCCCTGGGGGTCCCCGGCCGGAAAGTACACCGGCAAGGTCCCGGGACACTCCCGGCAATCTCAGGTCAGAGATGGTTTTCCTCCTGGGTGCCCCCCGGAGCGCGCCAAGAGGGTCCCGACAGGCTTCCAAGACGGTCCAAGAGGGTTCCTAATCACCGAACGATCGGCCCAAGACGCCCAGCACGGCCTCAAGACGGCCCAATAAGCTTCCAAGACGTCCCAAGAGAGCCCCGACCCTTTCCAAGAGAGCCCCACGAGGCCAAAATCATGGATTTTCATTCGGTTTTGCAAGGTTTTTGGCTTCCTCGCCTTTTCGCCTTTCCGACGCTCCAAGACGGCCCAAGAAGCCTCCAAAACCACCCCAAGACGGCCCAAGAGGCCTCCAAGAGAGCCCCAAGACCGCCCAAGAGGGCCCCACGACAGCCCAAGAGGCGCCCAAGACGGTCCAAAAGGGTCCCAAGAGGGGCCCAACATGGAGACCACGAACCGAGAATCCGAGCCTTCCGCTCCAAGAGGCCTCCTGGAGGCTCCAAGAGGCCCCCAAGAGGCCCCAAAAGGCGACAAGGGGCCCGAAAGAGACCCCAAGAGGCTCGACAACGACTCCCGAGAGTCTCCAAGAAGCCCTCGAGAGGCATCCAACGAGATCCCAATTAACGTCCACGAAGCCTCAGAGCGCCAAAACCATTGATTTCCATTCGGGTTTGTCAAGGTTTTTGGCTTCCTCGCCTTTTTGCCTTTCCGACGCTCCAAGACGGCCCAAGAAGCTTCCAAGACCACCCCAAGACGGCCCAAGAGGCCTCCAAGAGAGGCCCACGACCGTCCAAGAGGGCCCCACGACAGCCCAAGAGGCGCCCAAGACGGTCCAAAAGGACCCCAAGAGGGCCCCAAGAGAGGCCCAAGATGGAGACCACGAACCGAAAATCCGAGCCTTCCGCTCCAAGAGGCCTCCTGGACGCCCCAAGAGGCTCCTAAGAGGCCCCAACAAGCGACAAGGGGCCCGAAGAATGCAAAAAGAAAATTGCAGAATGTTGTCTTGTTCCCTGCAATCGTATTCACGAGCCGCCACCTTTCGAAACAGAAGGTTCAGGCGAGCAGAGACTGGGTTCCCGCATGCGAAATCACCCAAAGCCAGCCATCCATAAACAAAACAAATACCCAGCAGCACCCCATTGACAACGATCACACGGGCACTCGACAGCCGTGCACCAATACGGGCCGGCGGAATGAGCGAAGCGATAGATAAAGGTGTCGAAACGGGTGTGAGTTTCCATTGTTGGGGGGCGTATCAAGCTTTTAGGGGTAGGTTCCTGGCCAGGAATTGTCAAGTGGATTGCCCCCCAGAGCAGAACACCAGAAGTGGCGGCGCAGAGGCGAGGTGGAGGGGCGACGTCGTGGCCAGGGCTGGTTCTGGGCCATGAGTTGCCAGGCTGATTGTCCCCAGATCAGAGAGCCAGTGGGTGCGGCGCCGAGGCGAGGGGGGGGGGCGATGTGTGGAATGTCGGAGCCGGTTCTGGGCCACGAGTTGTCGGGTGGATGGTGTCCAAAATGGCGAGCCAGATGTGGCGGTGCCGAGGAGGGGTGCGAAGGCGGGTGGTCAGGGTCACTTCTGGGCCAGGGGTCGAGTGGACGGCCCCCAGAGCAGGGAGCCAGAAGCGGGCGGTGCGAGACGACGTGGGGCGGCGAGGGTGGGGGGTCCGGCTCGGCTCCGGGAGAGGGCTGTCGGGCGAATAGAGCACGAGATGGCGGTGCCGGTGGGGTCCCTGAGGGCTTATCGACGTTTCGCCAGTCGACTTGTGGGAGTCGAGCCAGATAGATCCAGGCAAATGCAGATGAATCGACATACATCCAGGTACATCCAGGCGAATCGAGATACATCCGGATCAATCCAGATAAATCCAGAGATCTCCAGGGGAAGCCGGAGCAACTCGCGGCCGCTCCAGCGCGAGTCGAAGGACGGCAGAAGTCGTGAAGCCTCTAACGGTGGGGGGCCAGGGCCGGTTTTGGTGCCGATGCGAGGTGTGGGAGAGGGCTGGGTGTCACCACCCACCAAACCACCCCAACCCAACCCGAAGGCTCAGATTTACCCTCGATTTCCAGTTGGGGGGGATCGGGAACATCGAAAAAACACGTGTGGAACCCTTACCCCCCCCCCAACCCGAAATTCGGGTCTTCGGGTTGGGTTGTGGTGGTCTGGTAGGTAGTCAGGGTGGGGGGCCAGGGTCGGTTTTGGGCCAGGAGCTGTGCGCGGCGCGGCCCCGAGGAGCGAGCGAGCCCGCGCGCCCGCGCCGCTCCCGGAGAGCGCTCGCGGCGCGCGCCCCCCGCGCCCGCAAGAGGCCGGCGAGGGTCCCCCCCCCTCCGCTTGGCATCGCTCGGGCGTGTGCCTTTTTTTTTTTTCTCGGCGGCGGCCATCGAGGAGTATCCTTCTCCTCCTCCTCCTCCTCCTCCTCCTCCTCCTCCTCCTCCTTCTCGTCCTCCTCCTCCTCCTCCTCCTCCTCCTCCTCCCCCTCCTCCTCTTGATCATTTGGCGAAAAAAACACGCACGATAGCGAACAAAAGCACAGGGAAGGCGAAACAAAATCGGGCCGGGCGAAAGGGGGGGATTGGGAAAGGGGGGGTTACGAAATTTGGTGCATGCATCTGGTGTCGGCCTCACCGAGGGGCCCATTCCTCGATACATGGGCGCCTCCCGGCGCCGGGAGGCGCCGGGAAAATCAGCTACGTGAGCTGATTCTCAAACCCCCCGTTTGCTATCCCCCCCTTTCGCCCGACCCGAAAAACCACGCACGATAGCGAACAAAAACACAGGGGAGGGACGTCCGAGCGATGCCCAGCCTCGGGGTCTCTGATGCAGAGGGGCAGCCGGGCTCTCGCTGTCAGCGCGGCTCGAGCTGCGGGTGCCGGAGCTCGGAAGCGGGCCGAGCGCACGCGCGGCCCGTTGGGTCATTTGTCGATCCGCCCGTCTGCCTCCCCTGCGGCTTCGCCCCAGGAGGTCCAGGAGGTCGGGCAGGAACGGGGGGGTGCAGGAAGAGAGCTGCGTGGATTTGGGCTCGAGCGATTGTGGGACAGCCATCGGGAACTTGGGCTCGACGCCCCCGAATTATCACACGAGCAGTCGAGCGCGACCGAGCTTGGTTGACGCTGAAAGCAGTTCAGAGCCTCCAGGTGAGCCAGCGTTGCCTTTTGAGGTGGTATGTCCTCGTCGTCCTTCTTTGACGCTGCGCTGCAAGAATACTGTACCACTATCTTCGTTCGTATGTGCGTCTCCTTCAGCTTATGTTTTTTTGTTGCTGATGCCTGGCTTTCTTTGGGAAGGTTTGCAGCGTCGCTTTACGCATGGAATGCATCCTTCAAAGCGATGCTCTCATCGCCTGATCATTCCAAAGAACAAGTGTTACGTCATGATTTCATCAGAACACGGGTGGCGCGATGGCAGCGTGTGATGGATGCGGTTCTGGTGCCTTTGTCGAACATAGCTTCGCCACTCTTGATTTGCATGGATGCGTGCTGTGCAGTTTCTTGGGACTCGGGATTGTTTTGCAGAGTGATGTTTCTCTCCGGGCGTCACTTTGCAACGCTGTATTGGAAGTACTACAAACATGGCTTATCCCTCTTTGGCGCAACGTGCATATTCAAGGTGTTCGTGTTGAGCCTTGCGGTGCGAACGTATTATGCAGACACGCAGGCCTTCCTCATATACGCTGGGTTCCGGGCCGCTATACGAGTGCTCTTGGCGCTGTTGGCACCCGACTGCAAAACGACTGTGAATTGGAATTTGTTTCTCTCTGCAGTGACGTGCCTCTCCGTCTGGGAGCGGCGCGAGCAGCTACGCATCGACGGACAACATGGCTTGGCCGCCTTTGTCCAGCACGTCATCATTGAAGTGGTTCTCTGTGCGCTCGTCTGCAGCGCCGGAGTAATTCAGGAGTTTAGTGAGAAGGATATCCTCAAGGCTTCCCGAGAGTCCAGGGCGTATCGTGCAGTTCAGAGGTTGCTCGGTGTTTTCTGCGACGCCCACCTGCACATCTGCCCACGGTGTAATATCATCGCCCATTCCCCACACCTGGTGAGTTTGCTCGGCGCGGAGAATGGGACAAGAGACATGAGGAGCACACTTCATGGACAGAGTTTCTTCCAGTACGTTGTAGAGTCCGATCGGCAGCGCTTGCAGGACTTCATCTCGGCGACAGCGGGACTGCAGTCGGAAGACTCTGCAGCCGAACACCTGGACTCGGGCGAGTGTGTTTTGCGCCCCGCTGCTTCCATCCACGTGTCTCTGCGCAAGGAGTTCGGATGCAACTCCTGCTAGGTGAAATTGTTGACGCTTCGCGTATCCCCACCAGCAGCCGCCGCAGTGCAGCGTGTCGCGCTGTTCGGTACGGCTGGAGCTTGGCGCCACGTGTGCGACAGCTCCCCGTCCGCTTCCAGGTTTGTGCTTGCGTTCCCCTCTGTCGGGCCGCCAGCGCCAGCTCCCAATGCGGGTCATGTTGTCCCTTGCATGTGCACTCGCTTCAGTGGCCTATGTGCCCCTGCGGCTAATTATCTCGCCCTGTGCCCCAGTCGTGTCCGACCCGCTTCCAGGATCTGTTCTCGGAGCCGCCAATCAACAAAAACGTATCCCCACCAGCTCCCTTCGGCTTTCGCTCTTCGCACAACCTCACGAAGCCGCGCGGGTGCCCTCTGCCCGCTCGCGGCCGCGATCAAAAAATATCCCCACCAGCCTACGCGAAGCGTCAATCATCACTCCCTGGGCGCGCCGTTGCATGTTCCTTTCAGGGGCTGCCCTGCAGACTCCCTGGATATGCACGCCTTGGCTCAGACGCCCTGGGTCGCTGCTGCCTGCCGCCTGACCGCGGCCCCGCGCGCGCCCGCTCCCTAGTCGCGGCCGCAGCCCGACCGTGACCGCCTGCCGCTGGCGCTTCCGTTTTTTTTTTTGTTTTCTTCTTTTTTTCTCCCCTTTTTTATTATACTTTATATATACTCATACACATACACATGCACATACACATACACATACACATACACATACACATACACATATGTATATATATATATATATATATATATATATTCAAAGTATCCCCACCGGTAGGGTCATTTTGTCCCTTGCGCGTGCACTCGCCTTTGCGGTTTACGCGCCGCTTTGGCCAATTATTTACGGCCTGTGCCCCAGTGATTTATACCGCTTCTTGACATGCGTCCTGCAGCCGCCAACCAAAAGTATCCCACCAGTTTTGGGCTGCACGTTGCTCGAGCTTCCCTGGGCGTTCCAGATCAGCCAACCAGCCCCCGCCCTGCTGCCCCAACTGCCGCCTTGTGAGCTGGCCCGGCCAGCTTGTGTCGCGCCCAGTAGCTAAATAGGCTTGCCCGTCGGCCCGGACACCCTGTTCGCCGCCTGCGATTTTCGCTCGCGGCAACGGCCAAAAAAAATATCCCCACCAACGCGTGCACCCTGGCAGTGCAGTTTCCCAGCAGTTGTCGTCAGCCCCCCCACTCGCCGGCCTGCCCGCCGAGGTGCTGCATGAGGCTCCGGCCCGCCGCTTTAGGTTAAGTCGTCTTTGCGCGGCCCGCTCTGACTGGACCTGCCGCGGGCGCTTTCGCCTGCTGCCGCTGACTAAAGAGTATCCCCACCAGCCTGTGCGACTGTACGACGCCGCGGCTGTCCGCTTGCGGCTGCGAACAAAAAATCCCCACTTGCCCATCCAGAAACGATGCCAATGGGGGTTGAAGTGATCAGGGACGTTGGGGATCATGCAGAAGAAAAGCGGGGGAAGACGTCCGATACCCCAAGAGGGGGAGGACGGTGGAGGAGAAGGATGACGAAAATGTGCATGAGGGCGAAGAGGAGGGAGGAGGAAGAGACAGTGGACAAAGAGGAGGGGGAGGAGGAGGGGGAGGAGGACAAGGGCATCCTCTTGAGGCCTCTTGGGCGCCTCTGCGCCTCTTGGGGCCGTGCGGGCGCCTCTTGAGGCCTTCTTGGGGCGCTCGCGGGAGCCTTAGGAGCGCGCTTGGGGCCATCTTGGAGGAGATCGATCAAAGAAGAGGGGTTCACCAATTCGCCCCCCCTCTTGGGAGCACCAGCGGTCGCCTCTTGGTGCGCTCTTGGGGTGCTTTTGGAGCGCTCTTGGGCGCTCTTGGGGCCGTCTTGGGGCTCTCTTGGGTCTCTCCTGGGGCCCTCGTGGGCCATCTCGGAGCCATGTTGAGACCTCGGATGACCATCTGAAGCGAAAAGGCGCAACAGCAAAACTCATGGATTTTTTGGAAGGTGTTGGAAGGATGTTGGTTTCTTGGGGAGAAAATTGAAAGTCTCTGAGGCCTCTTGGAGCCGTCTTTGAGCCGTCTTGGGGCCTCTTGGAGCATTTTGGGGGCCGAGTTGAGGCATTTTGGGATATCTTGAGCCATCATGGAGGAGGTCATCAGGGGCTCACTGAAACCCTCCTGGAGCCATCGTGGGCGAACAACTACCCTCTGACACCTCGCGGGGCGCTTTGTCCAGGTGCAGGGGAGGGGTAGGGGGTAGTGGTCAAGACTCCTTCTCCGCACGCAAGCTGTCTAGCTCACTCCCACCCAGCCTCCCACCACATAAGTGGCATCCGAGTCTCGGCATAGCCAGGGGTCGCCGCTGGACGGACAGTCACTGGGAACCAAAACAGGCGCCAGGTGCGCGACGCTCGCCGCGGGCTCCACATGCGGTTGGCGTGCCATCCTTGTAAAAAAACAAACGTGATGCCCCCGGTCCGCATGGTCCAGATGCTAATTTGGGGGTCGTCAGCATTGTTCTGGGCCTGGGCACAGCAAGCATCATCATGCGGGCACCACCGCCGTCCCTGTCAAAAAAATACAAAGTGATAGCGGGTGGCCAGCACAATACCCACGACGTTGTCGCAACGTGCACTTTGCACTGTTTTGGACACGGATGGTGGACAGGGCGCCAGCGCATTGTCCAGATTTGAGTTCAATGTGCACTTCGTATTGTTTTTTGGAAGGAATTGTGGAGTGGGTTGGCAGGGTGGGCCCCGCAGTGTGCGCTTCGTATCGTTTGTGACAGGGATGGTGGGGTGGGTGCCCTCTTGGTTTGCGCATGGTTCAGTGCTGGCTGCCGCTCGGATGGGGGAGGGGTTGTTTCTTAATAGGGAGCAGTGGTAAACCTCCCTAAGGGTAAGAAGGGGGTTGGAAGAGAAGATTATCTAGACCACCTACGCCCAGAGGGCTGGTGGGATTAAGCATCGGTGCTGATAGATCCGTGGTCGGGAAGCTGGCCTGATCCCACACAGTCCCCCTTGATCCCGCCTACTCCCGCTCAATTCTTGCTTACTTGGGCTAGATCCTGGGCTCAATCAAGCTTCATATGGCTCCATGACCCCGCAAGCAGGCCCAATTTCCCGTTAATCGTTCTTGCGAAGATTACCCAGGAGTTGCGTCCTAAAAGGAGGGAAGGGCGCACACGACTCCCGTGGAGCTGTTCCTGATCTGCTTCGACGGCGCCAGAGACGCCCCCGAGCTCCTGGTGGGGATCCGGGAGGCCTGCGAGGCGCTGCCGCGGGAGGCCTGCACGGATGCACCCGACGCTGGAGCTTTTCAGCGGTTGGCGGAGGCGTCGCCGGCGCGCGAGTCCGACCTCGGGACTGGCGAGGCCAGAGGCGACGCCAAAGGCGGGGGCAGGCTCGGCAGGGCGGGTCGGGTGGCGCACGGGCAGCGCCCGCAGGTAGGGGGTCACAGGCGAACCCTACCCCTACCCCCCACGATTTCTGAGGGCGAGGGTGGGGTTCGCATGTGGCCCCCTAGCAGGTGCTCCCGACTGGCCTCGGCAGGCCCCCCCGCGGAGTGCCAGCTGGCCTCGGCAGGTGCCCGAGCAGTGCAGGGCGGCCGGCCGCAGCACCCCGGCGCCCCCCCTCGGGGCGCCCTTGTCGGAGGTGGACAGACCTCCTACCCTGACACGTCGATGAAGGAATTGGCCGTTTTCGGCTCGCGAGAGGGCGTGGGCGTCGCGGCCGTCATGTTTGCGGGTCCAGGTCCGTCGGTTTCGGCCCCAGGCCGTTTTCACTAAAGGGAGGTTTGCTAAAGGGAGGTTTGTCCACCGCCGACCTTGGGCGCTCCGCGCCCCAGGGTTGGGGTGTGGAGACCGCTTTGGGCTGCTCGGGCGGGCTTGCGGAGGCCAGCCAGGACTACCAGGTTGGTGGGCCCGTTTTCCACCACCACCTCCACCGTGGCTTGGCGGGCCGTGGCTTGGCGGGGGGGAGGAGGAGGAGGAGGAGGAGGAGATGGAGGACGAGGAGGAGGAGGAGGAGGGGGAGGAGGAGGTGGAGGAGGAGGAGAACCCCCTCCCCCTCCAACTTATGGTGGTGTTGGTGAAAAACAGGCCCATCAACCTGGGGGGTCTGCCTGTGCGCAACCCGGAGCCTCAGCAGACAGGCTCAGGGAGGGACGCATCGACAACTTCTCAGGTTCGACGTTGCAAGCAGAGTTGCAGCATCGTGAAAAATCGCGGAGGGAACCTTGGGCCCATCTTTCCTTTGCCCTGGTCGAGCTGGATCGATATGTGCGAAAGAGCGTGTTCTACCGCTGCTGGCGGAAAACCGGGGGGGGTCACTGCCGGTTCGAACCCCTCCCCCCCCCCCCCTTCGGAAAACCGGGGGGGGGTCACTACGGGTTCGAACCCCCCCCCCCCCCCCCCCAGTTCACATGAAAAGGGGGGGGGGGGTCACTACCGGTTCGAACCCCCCCCCCACCCCCCCCTCGAAAACCGAGGGGGGGTGCGGACAGTGGTGGGGACGGTGGTGGTGGGGACAGTGGCGAGGGGTCAGCGGGACAGTGGTGGGGACAGTGGGACAGTGGTGGGGACGGTAGTGGTGGGGACAATGGTGAGGACAATGGTGGGAACAGTGGGGACAATTGGACAGTGGTGGGGACGGTGGTGGTGGGGACAGTGGTGTGGGGACAGTGGGAATGTGGTGGAAACGCTAGGACAATGGAGGGTACAGTGGTGGTGGGGACAGTGGTGAAGGCGGTGGCGACGACGGCGGTGGGACAATGGGACAGAGGTACAGTGGGGACAGTGGTGGGGACAGGGGGGACAGAGGTGGGAACAGTGGGACAGCTCAGTGGGACAGCGGAGGAGTCAGTGGGACAGTGGGGACAGGGGGGATAGTCGTGGAGAAAGTTGGGAGAGTGGAGCCGTGGTGGGAACAGTGGTGGGGACAGTGGGGACAGTGCGACAGTGGCGGTGGCACTGGTGGGGACAGTAGGGGCGGTGGAGGAACCAGTGGGGAAAGTGGTGGTGAGGACAGTGGTGCTGGGAACAACAGTGGGGGATGTGGTGAGGACGGTGGGAGGGACCGGGAGTCGTTTGCTGGAGGTGAGAGGAGGGGTGGGGAGGGGCTCGAACCGGTAGTGACCCCCCCCTCCGGTTTTCGAGGGGGGGGGGGTTCGAACCGGTAGTGACCCCCGCCGGTTTTCGAGTTCGAGGGGGGGGGGTAGGGGAGGGGGGGGTTTTGCCGGGGGGAGGGGGAGGGGGGGGGGGGGATCCCCGGGCTCCGGAGGAAAAAGGCAGCAATTTTCCACAGTAAAGCGGCGGTGGGTCACGCTCTCTCATATGTGCTGGTCCCCGAGTTCGAAAACGGACGAACATGCTGTGTGTGTGTGTAAAAATTGCAGCGCCCAGGTCCCAGGGAAATGTGTCGGCGATGTAAGCCGATTCCAGGTCGATGCCCCCCCATGAGCCAGTCCCTTGGTGATGTAGCTCAGGCCTCTGGCGGCCGTTCGGAACGATCTGGGCACCCTGGACAGCTGCCAGCGAGACGCAGCCGCTGGAAGACATCCCTGGGCTGGAGAGCTGCCGAGAACCACCGGGAACGTCCAGAACCTCAGTCCTCGGACCTCGAAGAGTTGACCTCGAGAATTTTCTGGGTCCGAGGTTCGCGCTGAGATCCCCCGCTGTCGCTTCCCTTCGCGAGGGCGGGTGCCGGTCGGGGCTCGAGCGAGGGGCTCTCAGACGCAGTCGACAGCGACGCCCATGGTGCCTACCAGGCGCCATTGGCACCATGGTCGCATGGTGAGTGCGGAGCGACTCTTGCGCGACCTGCGCACAGGATGAGAGAGCCGAGGCTCTCGCAATCGGTGGAGGCAATACGGGCCACTTAGAAAAAAACTGCCCCCGGCGAGTGCGCCTGCTTCAAGCAGTAGCGAAGCGTCCTGGCGAGCAGTGGCGAAGCACTGCCCCCGGCACTGCGCCTCTTCAAACATTGTTTGGTGGGCTATAGTCAGAGCCCACCAAACAATGTTCTGAGAACCTTTTGTGGTTCCCACGAAATGCACTTAGAACATTTATAGCTGGGATTGTCTCGTTTCATCACATCGGATTTATGTTCTAAGAACATTTTTTCGTTCTTAGAACATGTTTGGGTTCTTAGAACATTTTTGGGTTCTAAGATCATTTCGTGGTAGGACTATAGGAATGCCGGGACGGTCGGTTCTGCCCAATTGCTGCCGAGGTGCCGCCTGCCGGCGAGCAGCACGCGCCGCCCTGCGCGGCGCTGACGCAGGCGCGGGCTCACGGGCAGCCGCGCCCCCACCACGGTGGCCGGTCGTCGGTGGCCTTGCCGCAGCCGCCCGTGCACCACGTCGGCTCGAGGTCGGCACCGCCCAACCGCTCTTTCACATCTCAGGAGTGGGGAATCTGGACGCCCGAAAGGGGTACCAAAAGAATGGGCACAATGCCCAACAGCAACTCCTGTTCATTTTGAACAGGGCTCGCTGTCCGCGCCGCCGCCGCCTGTGTCCATTCGAGACAGATGGCCGCCTGCCCAACAGCGGCCGCTGTTGGTTTGGGACAACAGTTGTTGTTGGGCATTGTACCCGTTCTTCCCGTGCCCATTTCGGGCGTCCAAACACCCAACCGTTTTTTTACATTTCAGGAGTGGACAAAAAAACAGACACAACGAATCGTCGATTCCCAGGAAGATGGGAAGTGGGGGGAGGACGAATACCCAGAACATGTGGGAGAATATAGAGAATCCTGGGATTTGTGTGTGTGTGTTCTTATTTCTGTGTCCTTGGGCCCCTTCAACATTCCAGTCCGGCCCCCAACAAGTACATACACAGACGCGCTCCAATCAGAGGAGGAACAGGTATCCCATACCTCTACCCTTCCCTCGCTTTTTCCTGTTTTGGGGCCTCCTGGGAGGCCCTCGTCGCCACCGCTGGATTCGCCTCGAGATTCTGGTCAGGACGCACCCTGGGAGAAGTCTGGGGAGTAGCTTTGCGGGGCTAGCTTGAATAAGGAACACTTGCTTTTCAAAAGGGGCTCGGTCGTTCCTTTGGTTTGAATGCGTTCCGCTACCTTTTTGGCGGTGAGCCCCCCTGGTGTTCCTTCGGACTTCCTACAATCACTTGAACAAAAAGGGGCTTCGTTCCTTATTTCTCGTTCCTTAGGTCAGGCTGAATACTGTACCGGTACCTCTTGGTTTCCCTACAGACGCACTGCAATGCGCTGGTCTTCCTGAGGGCACATGCATGATTATTCGCAGGGGGTCTGTATATATGTTTAGATGTACATGTATACATCTACACATTTACATATACCTGTTTGAGCATGTAGCTGTAAGCATGTGTATATGTATGGATGCATGTATGTATATCTATATACACATCCGCATGTATGCGGATGTTGTTACATTCGTGCATGTATACATCTATTATGTGTGTTTGTGTTAGGATATATATATATATACACATCAGAGTGTGGGGGTCGAACCGTCATTCATTGTCCCTGCGTGCGTGGCCGAAGTGGGCTTCGGGGTTCGGTTGTTTTTGAGTTCTCACTTCCGAATGATTATTGTTGATCCTCCCCCTCCCGCGCCCTTTGTACTTTTCCAATTGAAGTGCCTCTCCTTGGGCTCGCACCTTGTTTTTGATCCGGGGAAGTCTTGAAGGTCAAAATGGGCCCGTTGCCGCCGAGTTACAAAAATGCCTCCCGCCTAATCATCCCCCACATGTTGTTCAAACCTCGTTGTCTCGCGCGGGACTTTCTCACTATGCATGCAGGAATCGCGTTCTCGCGTGGAACTTCCTCGGCAGTTATTCAGACGACGTCCTCGACATTTAGGATTCACGCTCTCGTGTTGGCCTCACTCACGATTTATTTGGGCATCGCTCTATCCCTCGAGACTTCCTCGCGATTCATGCAGGACACGCTTCAGCAACCGCACTTCTCGACCTGGCCGCCTGGGCCCGCCTTTCCGTCCCGTCAGTTAAGGTCTGGTCGCTAAATCAGCCCGTTTGGTTTTGCCGCGTTGTTTCTCCTCCTGGCCCCCGTCCTGTTAATCTAGTTTCCATCCGTTCTCTCTGCCCGTGTTCTGGGGGCTGCTCCAATTACGCGCGGCAGGTTAGGAAGATGTGCCCCCGAGGGGGGTATAATCGAAGAAGAGGGCGGATAACGAGGACAGGAATAGCGAACAGTTTTAAAATGATGGATGTTGTTGTCGTCATTGTCGTTGAATGCTCACTTCAAAGTAATAATTATTCTTGATCTCCGGAAACGATTCCGCGCGCTCTAGACTCGACGCCGGCTACATTTCCTCTGGAAACGAGGCTCCCGCTCGAGCGTTGGCTTGAGCCTAAATGTGGGCCCTTGCAGGCCCAGCTACGACAACAATGGCTCCCGCTCGACACTTCCTTACAATTTACCCCGAGACACCCTGACCAGAGAGGTCCCCGAATTTAGGAACGGCGCTCTCGCTTGAGACAACTTCGTCATTCAATTTAGTTGGCGGAGGCCCAGCCTCGACGACAAGGGCTCCTTCTCGATACGTCGTCACGATTTACTCCGAGAGCCCCTGACTAAAAAGGCCCACAAACTCAGAAACGGCACTCTCGCTCTAGACTTTTCCGCAATTCAGGCAAATTGGTGGAGGCCCGGACACGGCGACAAGGGCTCCCCTTCGATATCTCTCCATAGGTATTCGGGAGCCCGAACTCAGGAACGGCGCTGTCGCTCGAGACTTCTTCGCACGTCAGTCAGTGGCCGACAAGGAAGAGATTTCCCCCTCAAAGGAATGAACTAGAAGACGAAGCGGGCGGATATCGAGGGTTAGGGTATGCGGAATGCAAGACACGCGAACGGTCTTACAATTATCGTTGTCGTTGACGTTGTCGTTGTCGTTGTCGTTGTTGCTGCTACTGTTGCTGTATTGTTGAACCATAGCTGCTAAACTGTTCTCCTTGTTGGACACCCTAAATGCGCTTTCGTGCTCTCGCCCAGGCGCTGGCTGCATTTCCTTCCAAACTTTGGTTAACTTTCAGCCGTGTCGGGGTTCCGCCAAAACTGGCCCCAACAAGCGACAACAACGCTCCGGCTCGATACCTCTTCTTTTCTCATTCGGGGCTGGGGATATTGCTCGCCCCCTAAAGCCGCCTTTCCAACAACATCGGCGCTCCCGCTTGATACTTCTACCGGCGCTCCCGCCTCAGGACCTACAGACAACGACCTACAGACAAGACCTTCAGCCATCTGCTCTTGCTCGATTCAGGACTCCCAGGATACCCTGAGGCGCCCCTGATCCCTTTTGGCCCTTAACTGTTCAACGCTATTGCTGGACACCCTGAATGGCCGACCTCGCTTTCTCTCGTGTCCTGAGGCGTGGCGTCCTCGCTGTCGTCGGGGCCCACTATTCCCTTTCCTTGTTCTACCGCCCGAAATGGTCTTGACAACACCTCTTCCGCGGCACCTCAACATCTCCAGCCCGGATGGGACATTGCCTTCGAAATCCCCATGTCCAGGTCTTGCCTCTACGTATCCCGACGCCTGAAAAGCTAAGGGCCTCAGGGAGAGGCCTCGCAACCTCTGGGAGAGCTCCGTGGAAAGCCCCAGAACCTTAAAGCTTCAGAGCTTAAACCCTCACCCCTTCCCTTGGGCCGCTCTTGCGTCGGCCGCTTTCTATATGGCGCCGGTGCTCGTCGTCGTCGCCGTCGTCGTCGCCGTCGTCGTCGCCGCCGCCGTCGCCGCCGCCGTTGTCGTCGTCATCGCTTCGTCGTCGTCTTTCTCTTCCTCCTCGTCTCCCTCCTCCTCCTCCTTTTTGCACTCCTCCAAATAATGTCCCTGGCCCGAGGTGTTTCCAGGAGTTCCAAGAGGCTTCGACGGCCTCCAGAGCACGAGATCGACAACGACGACGATGACGACGACGGCGGCGGCGGCGGCGACGACGCCACGCGCCAGGACGCGAGCGAGAGCGAGGTCGCGCGGAGCAGTCGCGAGAGCACATTCTGGGTGTCCAACAATCGTATGTGTTTAGCAGCGACAACGACGACGACGGCCAGGAACTATCTTGATGGATGAATGTTGCACATACAAGCATAAAATCATTCGCTTAAAGTGTTGGTTGCTGTCGCTGTTGAGTGCCCCTTAAACAAATAATTATTGTTGCTCCCCCCTCTGCTAACCATAGTACGCTTCGATGAAAATTGTTCCTTTCGGGCAGGGGCTTGCACCCTGCTTTTTACAAGGGACAGTGCGGGGGCACCAAACTGGGCCCTTGGCCCCCGGTTTAAAATAACAGCGGCTCCCGCCTCATACTTTCTCGCACAGTATTCCCAACTCGCGCTCTCGCGCGGAGGTTCCTCGCAATGTATATAGGAATCGCTGCGTTGTGCAGGATGCCCTGGCAGTTCATTTGGCGCCGCGCCTTCGACAGTTAGGAACCGAGCTCGCGTTGCGACTCTTACACGATCGTATTGGAAATTGCGCTGTCGGTCGAGATGTCCTGGCGATTCATGCAGGACGCACGCTTCAGCAACCCGCCTGGTCGACCTGGCCGTCGGGCTCGCCTTCCCGACCCGCTAGTTGCTGGTTGCGGTCTATCCTCCCGGTCAGCCCGTCTGGTATTGCCGCGTGGTTTCAGTTCCTGGCCCCCGCGTTGCCATTTTGTTTTCGTGGTCCGTTTTCTTCCGTTCACTTCTTCTTGTTTCCCATCCGTCCTCTCCTCCCCCTGCTTTAGGGGTTGTACGGAATACGCGCAGCTGGTGGGACAGATATACGCCAAAGTGGGGAACGATCGAAAACGAAAGAGGGCGGGCGCCGAGTGTTTGGAGCTTCCGTGTTGAATGGCCCGCGAACACTTGAGGGCAAACAGCATTAAAATGATCGTTGTCCGTGTAGTTGCTGTTTTATTTGTTGTAGGTGGTGGTTTTTGTTTGTTGCTTGCTTTTGTTATCGCCGTCATTCCTGCGACCCGGCCCGCGACCCACCCGCGACCCACCCTCGACCCACCCGCGATCCACCCGCGACGTGCAATTTACCCACGACCCTTCCCGCGACCCACCCGCGAACCCGCAACCCACCCGCGACCCGCCCGCGACCCACCCGCGACCCGCCCGCGACCCACCCGCGACCCACCCCGTGCCCGCCCCTTACTCTTGTCTGCAACTGCGGGGTGCCACATGCGCAAACACACATACACATACACACATTTATATACATATATATATATATATATATATATAGATATATATACATACATACATACATGCATACATACACGTTCGTGGCGTATAGATGGATTTCGGCCACGCAAGGGTGGCGCGCAGTGGGGAAGCTGATTGCCAGAGTGAGAGGGCCGAGCGGCCATTCATTTTTCCCTGGGCACGTGGCTGCATAGGGAATCCGTGGTGAAAATGCAATTGGTTGCATTGTTGTTGTCGCTGTTGTTGTTATAGTTGAACATTATTAATTCTAAAGAATAATTATTGTTGGGCCCCCTGGTGCGCGCCCCCCCTGCGCCGCCTAGGCCGCAGCTACATTTTCATCATTTTCGTGAGGAAGCCTCAGGTAATTCGATGTGATCAAGATCCGGTTGTTTTGTTGTAATCCGCTTTCCCTTGCAAAAAACATTATAAAATGACATTTCTTGTTCTAATATAATCAAATTTCAAGAATCCCTTGCAAAAAATAAGGTAAAGTGGACATTCGCGCGCGCAAGACGAAATCCTTCCAAAAGCTTAGTGTTCGGAGCGATTTTAACATAAAAACATCAAAAAACCAATGGTTTTTCAACAAAAAAATGTCAAAATCTCATCCCGCGCGCTCTTGCGGATTCGTAGGAAACCCAACACTTTTTAAACATTTCTGTCAAACGGGCTTTTGCGAGCAACTTTTTCGAACTTCTGCGACAACGGTTGCGCACCTGCCAGGGCCATCATCCCTGTCAAATAATACCATGCGGGACACATTCGTTTTTTCTTCGCGCGCGCACGCCGAAATCTCCAAAAACCATTGGGTTCTTAAGAATTTTAGCACCGCGCATCATAAAATCACACGAATCGCACCGTAGGTCCTCGAAAAACACCTGCACGACTTTTCAAAATTTCCACCCGCGCGCGCTGTCCGAATCCTAAAACAACCAATGGTTTTCCAACATTTATGTTACATGAGCTCGCGCGAGCTACTTTCGCACGCTCTTGCAACGGGGTTCGCGCGCCTGCGAACCCCGTTCTCTCTGTATTATGTATTGTATGGCACAATTGCACCATGCTGGGCACATGCGCGCCCCGAATAAGTGACCAAGTTCTGTGGGTGTGTACCCCACGCCAGTGTAGTAGCCACGGTCGTCCGCACGCCACGAAGTGAAGTGTCCCAACGTCATAGGGCGGGAAGCTGGGTTTGGGTGGCCGCGAAGAGTCGTTTGGATATTTGGTAGAGCTTGTAATGCCCCCCCTACGAAGTGGGGGTATTGCCTGGTGTCGTATGAAAACCCTGGCACTGGGGAGAACACCACGCGTTCGGGTAAAATGATTGTTGTTGTTGTTGCTGTTGGTGTTGGTGTTGGTGGTGTTGTTGTTGCTGCTGTTGGTGCTGCTGTTTTTGTTGTTGGTGTTGTTGGGGTTGTTTGGTGGTGTCATTGTTGGTGCTGTTGTGATTGTTGAGGTTGTTGTTGTTGTTGTTGTTGGTGCTGTTGTTGTTGTTGTTGTTGTTGGTGTTGTTGTTGTTGTTGATGTGGTTGTTGATGTTGCTGCCGTTGCTAATGTTGTTGGCGTTGCTGTTGTAGTTGATGCTGGTGTTGTTGGTGGTGTCGGTGTTGTTGTTGCTGTTGTTGTTGTCGTTGTTGTTGGTGTTGTTGGTGTTGTTGGTGTTGATGATGTTGCTGTTGTTGAACTCTCATTCTTGAAGAATAATTATTGTTGATCCCCCCCCACCGGTGCACACAGATTTTTTTCGATTGAACTGCCACCCCCGGGGCTCGCACCTTGTTTTTTCTAAAGGAAAGTATTCCTGCTCAAACTGTGCCCCTGCCCCCCGGGCTACAACAACAACGGCTCCCGCCTGAGACTTCCTCGATTTTTACTCAGGACCCCCGCTCCCGCCTGAGACTTCCGCGCAATTTACTCAGGAAAGGCGTTCCCGTTTGAGACTTCCTCGCAATGTAATCAAGACCCCCGCTCCCGCCTGAGACTTCCGTGCAATTTACATGGGAACGGCGCTCCCGCTTGAGACTTCTTCGAATTTTACTCAGGACCCCCGCTCCTGCCTGACATTTCCGCGCAATTGACTCAGGAACGGCGCTCCCGCCTGAGACTTCCTCGCAATTTAGTGAGGACCCCCGCTCCCGCCTGAGACTTCCGTGCAATTTGCTCAGGAACGGCGCTCCCGCTTGAGATTTCCTCGCAACTTAGTCAGGGCCCCCGCTTCCGCCCGAGATTTCCTCACAATGTATTCAGGACTGCGCTCTCGCGTGCGACGTCCTCACAGATTATTCTGGACTTGCGTTTCGGCGCTCAGGAACCACGCGCGCGCCAAGGACGCCTTCACAACGTGGTATATTCCCTCTTCCTTCGTCCTTCCCCCTCCCCTTCCTCCCACTTTCCCTCGTTCTTCCCCTCCTCGTTTTGCAGGGCCCGCGCCAATTCCAATGGCGGGCAGAGAGATGTACGCCCCCGAAGGATTGTCCGCCCGTTCCGGTTTGCCCATACGTCTAAACCCGCCGGCCCCAGCAAAGAGAAATAATCCCCCCGAAAGGGGTGTGATCGAAGACGAAGAGGGCGGGCATCGAGGGTGTAGGGTATACGTGTTGAATGACTCGCGGGCAAGTAAGAGCGTACAGCCTTAAAATGGTTGTTGTTGTTGGTGGTGTTCGTGTTGTTGTTGTTGTTGTTGCTGTTGTTGTTGTTGTTGTTGTTGTTGATGTTGCTGCTGCTGCTGCTGTTGTTGTTGTTGTTGTTGTTGTTATCGTTATTGCTATTGTTGTTGTTGGTGGTGTTGTTGTTGTTGTTGTTGTTTGTTGTCGTTTTCCACCCGCGACCCACCCGCGACCCACCCCGCGACGCCACCCGCGACCCACCTCGCGACCCACCCCGCGACCCACCCCGCGACCCACCCGCGGCCCAACCCTCGACCCACCCGCGACCCACCCCGCGACCCACCTGCGACCCACCCCGCGACGCCACCCGCGACCCACCCCGCGACGCAACCGCGACCCACCCCGCGACCCACCCGCGACCCTTCCCGCGACCCACCCGCGACCCGCCCGCGACCCACCCGCGACCCCTTCCCGCGACCCACCCCGCGACCCACCCGCGACCCACCTCGCGACGCATCCGCGACCCTTCCCGCGGCCCACCCACGACCCACCCCGCGACCCACCCTCAAGGGAGGAAAAACCACGAGGTCCCGACGATTGATGTTTACTAAACGGCCTTTATTGAAGAGCCTTGCCCTGTTCGGTTCATTCCATGCGTGCGTTTACTAAATGGCTTCGCTTGTCGGGGTGGTTGCTATGGGGTGAAATTTCTGCCCTCTACACCCACGACCCACCCGCGACCCAACAGCGATCCACCCGCGACCCACGCGCGAACCACCCGCGACCCATTTGCGACCATTCCCGCGACCCACCCGCGACCTACCCACATCGGTTCAACGAAAAAATCGGCGCCTGCGGCGGGCTCGTTGCATAATTTGTGGACGGGCTTCTCCAGGGTCTCGCAATCTGCTGACGTCCCCACCGCCCCCTCGCTCTTGTCCGCACTTGCGGGGTGCTCCGGTAGAAGTGTTCCACGACCATCCGAGTTCTTTGGGAATTGGAGCCGTCTGTGGGTCAGAACTGGCCCAGCACTGGCTCTGCGAGCAGGAAGGGGGGGCAGGTTCGAGGCGCTGCGTACACGAAGGTTTTTGTTCCCTTCGGCCTCCCAGGGCCGTTTTCCTGGCCTTAGGACAAACACAAAATCAGACAGGGTGAAGAATTGCGCCAGACGGGCCCCTGGAAGGGTCCAAAGATTGATTGTGAACGGATTCGGCTTCATCCACCTTTTTGACTGTTCTCTTCTGGGGCTCGTCCTGCGTGCAGAAGGGGTCGGGTACGTGCCGGGGAAATGTACACAGGGCTCTCTCTCGCCCGTTGTCGGGCCTCGGGGCCATCACGGATCTCTCCGGCAGAAGTGCAGCAGACAGATTTGGTATGTTCGGGGGCGGAAAAGAGGGGGGTGATGACTAGGGGAGGGTGGATATCATAGCGCGGGCCATGATATCTCTCCAGATTTCATGGCGCCTCTTCTTATTTAATCGCTTCGCTCATTCCGCCGGCCCATATTGTCGCACAGTTGTGGGCTAGCCGAGTTTTGGGGCCTCTTGGGGGCCGTTTTGGGGCCTCTTGGGGCCTCTTTTGGGCCTCTTGGGCGCCTCTTGGGGCGTCTTGGGGGCCTCTTGGGGGCCTCTTGGGGCCTTTTTGGGGCCTCCTGGGCGCCTTCTGGGGCGGAGGGCTCGATTTTTCAGTTCTCGGTTCCCCTCTTGAGCCCCTCTTGGGCCCGTCTTGGGGCCTCTTGGTCCGTCTTGGGCGGCACTTGGGCCGTCTTGGGGGCCCTCCTGGGCCGTTCCGGGGCCGTCTTGGGAGCCTCATGGGCCGTCTTGGAGCGGTCTTGGGGGCCTCTTGGGCCGTCTTGGAGCGTCCGGAAGCCGAAAAAGCCAGAACGCAAAAAACAGCGAAAAAAACAATGAAAATCAACGATTTTGGCCTCTTGGGGCCCTCTTCGGAGGCCTCTTGGAAGGCCCTTGGGGCGTCTTGGAGGCCTCTTGGGCTGTCTTGGGGCCCTGTTGGGCGTCTTCGGGCGATCTTTGGCCGTCTCGGGGCCCTCTTGGACCGTCTTGGAGGCTTCTTGGGGGCCTCTTGGCCCGTCCTGGGGCCCTGTAACAGGGCTCCGGCATCTCTGGCCCGACCTTGCGGGGACCTTGCCGGGGACCTTGCCGGGGACCGGCCGGGACCTGGTCGGGGTACTTTTCGTCTGGGGACCCCCAGGGGCCGCCCCGCGCGCGCGAAGTAGAAACATTGTAGAGCAGTTACCGGAGATCTTAGCACGCCTCTGGCCCGTTGGGCCGGCGAATTTCATTACGTCCCTGGCCCCCCCGCTGGGCCGCGCACATGCCGCCGGTCATGATTTGCACCCCCCCCTCTTGGACACCCCCCTCTTGGCCGCTCCCGAATGTGATGTTGTGCCTCGATGTTTCGCGACGTTGCGTTTTTGTTCGCAGCGTCGGACCTCAGAGCCGGCCAGAGGTCGTCGAGCTCCGCGTCGTCGTCCTTGTCTGGGAGCTGCGCGCTGGACGCGGGCTGCGTCTCGTCCGTCTGTCTGCGGCTGGACTCGGCGAGCAGTGGCCTGCGCGTCGAGGACATGCTGCTGCGCTTTGGAGACGGACATGGGGCGCCCCACCTGCAGGATTGGCTCCCCATGGAAGCCCTGGATGAAATCCATAGGATCGGGGAAACGTCAGACTCAAGTACGCCGACACTCTGGTTTGCCGACGCTGTTTGACGAGCACGTCCTGGTTTTTGAGGGTCCAGTTTTCGTTGGACGTTTGCAGCGGGAGCTCGCGTCAAATTTCAGATTGGATCCGCCAGTTTCATGATGGCTCTGCCACCCGAGCCCGAGTCTTACGTCTCCCCGATAGGAGTATCCAGGAATTTGTGAATCAGGGGGAGTACGGAGGTGACGAGGAGGTGGCGGCGGGCGTCAGCCTTGGTGCGGTGCGGTTTTCCAGAAGCGGAACTACGTTTCTGCAGTCTCAGGGTGCAGAGCTTGGGGTTGATGGCCCCATGATTGACCCTCGCGATTCCGACGAAGATTCTGATGATTTCAATCCGATTGTACTCATGAAGCTGACTGGGGTGTCGAAGCTTCGCATGCCTTGGCAGAGGGTACCGACCAAGGTCTCGGGAAGACTGCCCCCGATCAACGAGTTCTTGACGGAAGCAGCGGATTATGGCGGCGTGTCCGCACTCAGAAAGAGAACCAGTGGTTTGGCCAAGGTAAGAAAGGAGAGAGCGTCCTTTGGCAGTGTCGAGGGGGCGGCCGCTGACTTCGAAGCCTGATGCGAGCCGATTGTGTCTCCCATGCACTGATAGTGTAGTCTAGCTTGTTGCTGTTCGTAGCTATCCGTCGCTTCTCGCAGTAGATCTTGAACTTGTTGTTCGGGCATATTGTCCGGAGGTTGCTGCTGCTTTTCGGCAGGTTAGCCGACGTCGTGGTGACATGTGTTTCTCTCCTTCAGATCCACATGGGGGTGGCGGAGACGGGGGGGGCGATCAAACCGCCGCTGAGTGAGCCAAGGGGTGTTCAAAACACAACCAAACACGCTCAAAACACAACCAAACGCACGCGGCTGCACAACAATGCGCAACGTCCATGGATGCCGCTATGGAGGGCCGCCACGCGAGACCACTTCGACGCAGCGGGTCTGTAGAATGGGCGCTTTGCAACAATATTTCGGTGCAATCACACAACAGCGTAACAGATATAACGACGCAGAGGTTTCGTACATTTACATAAGCGAACCGCCGCCAGAAGCCTGATCGGACCCCTTGGCGGTATCCCCAAGTCCACTGCGCCTGCAAGCATAAACCAGTTGCAAAATGACGACAGCAACGCATCGTTCCTGCAACGCACAACGTACCACAAATCCGGATCATCATTATTTCGGCATGTGCATCTGTATTTGCACATGCACATGTGCATATGTTTGTGCGCTTGCACTTTGCACCCCCCCCGGAGGACGAGCCCCCCGAGGCATCCAAAGGCTTCCAGACATCCCCGACGACCCCCGAAGAGCCCAAGCAGACACCAGGGACCACAAAGGGTCTCCGAGGGCTGCCATGGACCTCCGAGGATCGCAAGGGGGATTCCCGGAGACCACCGAAAGCCGCCAGAGGCAGCCGAAGCCCCCCGAAACCCACCGGCCCCCAAGACGATCACCAGGACCGCGAGCCCTGGCGGCTTCCAAGGGTCCCGAGGACCCTGGAAAGGCTCGGGGCTTCCGAGAGCCTCCAGGGGCGGCCGACAACCTGCAGAGGCTTCGGACATACGCCGAAGACTTCGCATGACTGCCAAGGACTCCAGGGACGGCCCTAGGAGGGGCGCTGGGGGCCTCCGACGGGGCCACGCCGAAGGGCTTCCCACCGGCGCTTCGGGGAGCCCGCCCTCCCCCGAGCAGCGGGCCCAGGGGGCAAGAGGAGCGGGCGCCGGCCAACCGCCGCCGCGACGACGACGACGACGAGGGGGAGGGGGGAGGAGAGGGACGGAGGGAGGGACGGGGGGAGGCAGGAAGGGAAGGGGAGGGAAGGGGGGAGTGATGTAGGGAGGGATGGAGAGTCAAGGCGGGGAGGGAGAGGATGGAGTCAAGGCAGGGAGGGAGAGGGTGGACGGGGGCCCTATCCTCGATTACCTCGAGAGGCAAGGAAGCGGGTCGGGGAGCCGAGGGCATTCCCAGGGACGTCGCGAAAAGGTCTTTTGAGAGAGCAACGGCCCATCAAGATGCTGTTGTGTAGTAGCGCTTTCTCATGTTAAGCTATAGTGAGAGGAATTGAGAATATTTGAGAGATTTTGAAAGGAATTGAGAGAAATTGAGAGAAATTGAGATATAATATCCCGGGGACGACCCAAATTGAGAGAAATTGAGACAAAAAGGTTCGCTTGGTGAGAAACTTTGAGACACATTGAGACAACTAGTGCCGTCTGGTTCAGGACAATTGAGACCGCGTAGCCTGACTTGGCGAAGGCAGCTGAGCGTGTTCGATGGCAAACCGCATCGGAGATCCTCACGGGACCGCGGCCGCGCAGTGGTACCCGGACGCCATCCTCGCTTCTATTCCCTCCTCCTCTTCCCTCCTCCGCTGTCCACTCCTTCCTCCTCGCCCCCCATCCTTCCTCCCCCTCCCTCCTCCCCCCCGCTCCCCTCCTCCTCCCTCCTCCTCGCTCCTCCTGCCTCCCCCCGCCCCCTGGGCAGCGACGACAGCAGTGAGAGGCGATGCGCTTTGAACGCGAGGTGCAGCGATGACCCTGGCCTGCCCAGGTAGGGGCTTGGGGGGGGCAACGGGGCGGGGAGGGGCGTGCGAGGGGCCTCGGACAGGGGGCCAAAGTACTCTCGTGAAAGGGCCCGCTAGCATGCACCCGTCCCGCACCAGTCGCGAACACCAGAAACATGAAGATAGCGGGGGCGGTGTCTAAACGAGCAGCAGGGTCAAACCATGCGCCCCCGCGATGTTGTCTCATTGCATCGTGTGCCGTTCTAGCTACGAGGATTCAGACGCGGCCTTGCTCAGAGAACGCGTCGTCTAGAGTGCGATGGGCCTTGACCTGGGATCAAGAAATCCGGGGCCCCGGCGCGACGTGGCCCCGCGCCCTCCAGTAGTGGCTGAAGAAGGTGGCACCCTTCAAGATTTAGGCGCGCTGCGCGACTCCTCGGAAATGAGCCATGCAATCCACTGCCAATTCTAAGGATCATTCGAGAGCGCGACTTTAATGGCGCATCCCTTCGCGCGAGGACAAGGGCCATGCCAGACGACCGTTCCTGAACGCTAATGCGCGCGCGCCCCAAACCTGTTCGCTTCGCCCGAGCACGAAGCCGGCCGTCACGAAGCCCGCCCAATCACCAAACTGCAACATGGGCACCGCGACGGTGAAAAACTCGCGCGCAATGGGCACCCTCCGAGGAAGATAAAGATCATCTCGCGCCGGACGGCGCGCTCAATTTTCGCCCCCCCCGTCGACGCCACCCCCATGTGGATCTGCATGATTCTCCTTCAGTATAGCGTCGGGTGCGCTGCAAAACTTTCCAAGACTGCCCCATAGCATCCGAAGAAAGCCAGAACTGGGACCCGGCACGCCCGAAGCGGACCCCATACGGCCTAAGAGAGCTTGTGGAAGGGGCCGAGAGGGGCCGAGAGGGCGCCAAGACGGCACGACCACTCCAAGCATGCTTTTTGAGCATGTTCGCTCCCTCCCTCGTGTCCTTTTCTAACCACGTGTCCTTATTCCTCCTGCTTCTGTCTTGCCTTGTCCTTCCTGCACGTGCTCCGCAAATTGGCGCGACAGCGCGTGCATTCCGTGTCAAGACAGTTTTCTCTCCGTCCGCAGTCATACTTTGTTTATCTCGCACGTGCTCCGCCACCCGGCGTGACAGCGCGTGCATTCAATTTCAAGTAGTTAAGATTTCTGTCCGTTTTTCGTCATCCATCGTCTTCTTGCACGAATTTCACCAGCTGGCGTGACACCGCGCGCACCCTGTCACAGTCACAACTCAGCACTCCTCCCCGCCCTTCCCGACCCCATTCCAATCGATATCACTCCTCCCACTCTTCTCCTGGCCTCCCCACTCCACTCCTTCTTCCCATTAGTGGCACCCTCAGGGGCAGACTCCCTCAGTGGCCATGAGGCACCCTCAGGTGTAGACTCCCTGGAACCCTCAAGGGTCGAAATCTCTCTCTTGCCAGGCCGCGCCCAGCAGGGCAGGCCAACGCAACCATGTCCACCAGGGCGAGACCCATCAAGAGGGAGATTCCGACCGTGTGCTTCCCCATTGAAAGGTACGTCCAGGTACTCACATGAGAAATCACAGCGCGATTGTACTCGAAGACGGTTGGTCCCCCGCCTTCATGGCGCAACGAAGCCCCGACAAATCAGCAGGGAAATATACCAGTTTCCCTTTGACAGCGCGATGGCACATCGTGACATTAGCCTGGCGAAGAACCCACCATATGTAGTTTTGAATACCACAATTATGGGTATCGTATTCGGTGTAGCTCCCTATGGGGCCACGAAGCGTTGCACTGGGAGGGGGAGACGCATGCGAAGTTTGCCATTGGGGCCTTCGGTGGAGCTCCCTATGGGCCACGAAACGTTGCACGGTGCGGGAGGCGCATGCGGACTTTGCCACTGGGGCCTGCGGTGGAGCTCCCTATGGGCCACGAAACGTTGTGCTGGGTGGAGGAGACGCATGCGGACTTTGCCACTGGGGCCTTCGGTGGAGCTCCCCATGGGCCACGAAACGTTGTGCTGGGTGGGGGAAACGCATGTGGACTTTGCCTGTGGGGCCTTCGGTGGTGCTCTCTATGAGACCACGGGCCGGTGGGGCTCCTTACGGGGCCACGAAACGCTGTGCTGGGTGTGCGGGACGCCTGTGGGCGGTCCCATTGGGATTTTCGGTGGGGCTCCCTATGGGGCCACGAAGCGCTGTATTGGGTGGTCGGGACGCACGAGGGTGGTCCCACTCGGGCCTTCGGTGGATCCCCATATAGGGCCACGAAACGCTGTACTGCGTGGAGGCGACGCCTGCGGGCGGTGCCACTGGGGCCGTCGGTGGGGCTCCCTATGGGGCCACGAAGCGCTGTACTGGGTGTGCGGGGCGCACGCGGGCGGTTCCATTGGGACCTTCGGTGGAGCTCCCTATGGGGCCACGAAGTGCTGTACTGGGTGTGCGGGACGCACGCGGGCGGTCCGACTGGGGCCGTCGGTGGAGCCCCCTATGGCGCCACGGAGCGCTGTACTTGGGTGGTTGCGTGACGCATGCAAGCGGTGCCACTGGGGCCGTCGGTGGGGCTCCCTATGGGGCCACGGAGCGCTGTGCTGGGTGGTGTGTGGCGCATGCGGGCAGTGCCACTGGGGCCGTCTGTAGAGCTCCATATAGGGCCGCGAAACGCTGTACTGGGTGGTGCGTGACGCCTGCGGGCGGTGGCGTTGGGGCCTTCGTTGGAGTTCCCTATGGGGCCACGAATCGTTGTATTGAGTGGTGCGTGACGCATGCGGGCGGTCCCACTGGGGCCGTCGGTGGAGCTCCCTATGGGGCGACGAAGCGCTGTACTGGGTGGTGCGTGGCGCATGCGGGCGGTCCGATTGGGACGTACGGTGGAGCTCCCTATGGGGCCACGACGCGCTGTACTGGGTGGTGCGTGACGCATGCGGGCGGTGCCACTGAGGCTTTCGGTGGGGCTCCCTATGGGGCCACGAAGCGCTGTACAGTGTGGTGCGTGACGCATGCGGGCGGTGCCACTGAGGCTTTAGGTGGAGCTCCCTATGGGGCCACGAAGCGCTGTACAGAGTGGTGCGTGACGCACGCGGGCGGTCCCAGTGGGACCTTCGGTGGAGCTCCATATAGGGCCACGAAACGCTGTGCTGGGTGGTTGCGTGACGCATGCGGGCGGTCCCACTGGGGCCATCGGTGGAGCTCCCCATGGGGCCACGAAGCGCTGTATTGAGTGGTGCGTGACGCATGCGGGCGGTGCCAGTGGGGCCTTCGTTG